AATCAACTCTGTTCTGCAGAAAAGCTTCTTCCAACTCAGACAGGTAGCTAAGCTCAAGCCAGTGTTGTCCAGACCCGACCTTGAGAAACTAGTCCACGCCTTTGTCACAACCCGATTGGACTATTGCAATGCACTGTATGCTGGGATCAGCCAGGCCTCCATCTCACGTCTTCAGCTCGTCCAGAATCCTGCTGCTCGGCTTTTAACCGGAACTCGTTGGTTTGAACATATACATCAGTTCTGTTCTCCTTTCACTGGCTCCCTGTTCGTACGAGGATAGTCTTTAAAATTCTTCTGTTGACCTTCAAATGCCTAAATGGCCTCGCACCCCTTTACCTCTCTGAGCTTCTGGAACCTTACGTTCCCTCTCGGGCCCAGAGATCATCCGATCAGCTGCTTTTGGCTGTTCCAAAAACAAGACTGAAGCTCAAAGGAGATCTGGCTTTTTCAGTCATGGGCCCCAAACTCTGGAACAACCTGCCCCCCAACATCAGGCTCACCGCCTCCCTTCCTCACTTCAAATCCCTGCTTAAAACACATCTGTTCTCTCAGGCATTTCATACAGTGTAAATTGATCCAGTGTTTTTTAATCTGTGACCCTATGTTTTAAATGCTTTTTATTAATTCTTCAGTTATTATTATTAGTGTATTGTATATATATATTTTTTCTCTCTTTAATTTACTCGATTGTTGTTGTTGTTAAGCACTTTGATAACAGGTTCTGTTTTAAATGTGTTCTATAAATAAAGTTAACTTGACTTGACTTGACTACTATCTTTAAGTCCACTGGTAGGATTTATTGATATCTGCCACTGCCTCAATCTGCTGGGGTTTCATGCCATGCAGGGCTTATCTTTCCATGATGGGTCCTCCTGCCCTCTTCTACATTGGGTTTCTGCTGCTGCCTGAGATGTTCACTCATCAATTCAACATCAGGGGCTTTCCTCTTGATGTAATCCAGGATATTTGTTGTTTCATCCTGTATAGTGGCTTGGACATTTAAGAGTTATCTTCCTCCCTTTTTTCTCTTAGTGTATAGTCTCAGGGTGCTGGACTTGGGGTGACACCCTCCATGCATTGGGAGGGTGATCAGTGAGTCATTGTCTTGCTTAATTTTGGCATAAAGCTTGATGCCATTCATGTAGATGTGACTAATGATTGTTCCACTTTGAAACTGGTATCCATAGCCACACTTTGCATTGATCTAGCTGAGGGGGTTCAGACCTATGCAGAACAGGAATGGGGACAGCCTTGGTATATGCCACATTTGATGCTGACATATGCTTTGATTTGGCCTCTAGAGTTGCCTTCCATATTCCCTTTGAGTTCTTGACATTTCTTTAGTGTCCTCTTGATGTTGTATATTTTCAAGCACTCTAGTATCCATGTGTGTAACATTGATTCATAGGCTTTCCTGGAGTTAATCCAGGCAGTTCATAGGTTTGTGTGCCTGGTCTTACAGTTTTGAGCTACAGTTCTGTCGACCAATAGCTGGTGTTTGGCTCCCTTAATGTTGGTACTGATTCCCTTCTGTGCCTCATTCGGGTATTGACCCATTTATCTGTTAATCTGTCATATCTGTGCTTTTATCTGTTCTCCTTTCATGATTTCTGCTATATTTTTGTTTGCCTGCCTGGGAGGAGTCAACAGGGGCAGGACAGCCCCCAGAAACCATCTTATCTCCAGCACACTGGTTGGTCCACTTAAGGAGTGTACTTCTTGGTGGCGAAACAGTTTACTTGGGACTCCTCAGACTGATGAAACCTTCAAGATAGAGGGCGAAACATCTCTACAAAAAAGAAACTGTCCAGATGACCTGACTGACCATTATTGGATGTGTGTTAAAGAGTTGTTTTTGTCTGGATCAAAGTGCTGCATAAGCATGGAGCCTTTACCCCAAAAAAGCAAGGAGGCAGCAAGAGTCGTCTGACCTTGCCTTTATAAGGAAGATGAAGATGGCACCGTTGTATGTGACTTGCCATTTATCGCTCCTCATCTTGTTACTTGTTGTGTTATTTTTCCTGACTTTTGTTCAGCTTGTGTCATCACTGTTTAATTATGACCACCAGACACTTTTAAACATCATTTCTATCATGGGAAAAGTACCACTTTGTGACCTTTATGGATAATCAAATACTTTTCCTCTACCTCACCTGCATTCATACCTCAATTTTTACAGAATCCTTGTGTTGTGGTTGCCCGCAGCAGACGCCGTCGCAAGAGTCATGGCAGGAGAGGTGGTTTGCTTGTGAAGCTCTGGGCTCAACTATCCTCTTCTTCATTCCAGTCTTCGTGCAGGATTCTCATGAAATTCAACTCTGTTGACATATGGAATATTCCTACAGTTGGCTGTGCGTCATAGATACGGACACCGACGGCAGCACATTTTCTGGTCTTCGGCGTGCAAATATCTGTAGGATAACAGCCAATGCTCCATCCAGATGGCCCTTCTAAACACTAGATCAATCATAAATAAGACTTTTATTCTCCATGATTTCTTTGCTCAAACTCTGGACTTTCTGCTACTGACAGAAATGTGGCTGAGACCAGGTGACAACAGCACATTTTCTTAGCTCTTCCTCTCAGGCTGTTCCTTTTCCATCTCCCCACACCTGTCAGGCTGCAGTGGTGGTGTTGCCACTATCTATAAGGACAATTTTAAATGCAGACTTCTGCCCACCAACACTTACTCCTCCTTTGAACTTCAGTTGTTTGTGATTGAGCTCACCCTAATGTTCTATGTGCTGTTGCGTATCGCCCACCTAAATATAATAAGGAATTCATTCAAGAATTCTCTGAATTTCTTGCTGATATTATTTCCAACTACGACAGTTTTTTAATTTGTGGTGATTTTAATATTCATGTTTGTTGTCCCACTGACTCACTGGCTTCTAAGTTTCTAAGGCTTTGGGCCTCTTTTAAATTAACACAATCAGTAAATGCACCAACACATCATCGCGGTCATACTCTGGACCTTTTTTTTCTCACGGACTGTCTATTTCTCATTGTGAAATTTCTGAGTTTGCCATCTCGGATCATTTCCCTATTTTTTTTTGCATTTTACAGCACCCCACCTGGCCAGGAGACCTCTGGCTGTAGGTCATTATCGCCACATTCTCATCTCAGCTAGTGCCGGACAGTAACCACTGCTTTTCTGAACTCACAGTTTTATTCAGTTGGTCCTGATGTTTCTCTGTGTCCCAAAGATTTTTTGTTATTGTGTTCTGAAACATGCAGTGGGATACTGGACTCTATTGTTCCGGTCAAGTTCAGACCCAGAGTTGAGCCTTGGCTAAAAAAATCCTGCAGCATGTGAACTCAGGAAGCAATGTAGAAGGGCTGAAAGACAGTGGAAGCATGACAGGCAACATGATTCTTTGGTTTTATTAAGGATAACTCTTGTTCTGTATTAGAGATCCATTAATGATGCAAAATCACAATTTCTGTCTAACATTATCACAAACAGTAGCCACTGTCCGAGGGTTTTATTTAATACAATTGACTCTGTTTTAAATCCACGCACCTCAGTCTGACCTGATGCCTCAGTCTCCACCTGTGAGAATTTTCTCTCCTTTTTTATTAATAAAGTTGCATCCATTAGACAAGCCACAGGTACACCTGCTACTTCTGTTTCAGAGTTTTCTTTTATCTCGACTGGTTCTTCTTTATTTGAGCAGTTTGAACCAGTGTCTTATTTCCTTTTGGATAAAATAATGAAATCCATTAAATCCACTAACTGCCCCACTGATTTTCTCCGTACTAAACTTTTGAAAGAGGTATTTAATATTGTTGGTCCTTACCTTCTTCCTTTTTTCAATTAATGTCTGACCATTGGAATTATGCCTTCTGCTTTTAAACATGCAACAGTCTGCCCCCTTCTCACAAAAACAAATCTTGATCCCTTAGTTTTTATCAAATTTTAGACTATTTCTAGGTTACCCTTCCTCTCCAAAGTTTTAGAAAAAAATGTTCTCATGTAAATTCAGCCTTTTTTAGAAAAAAACACAATCTTGGATAAAATTCAATCTGGTTTTAGATCCTGGCATAGCACAGAATCTGCATTACTGAGAGTTCATAATGATATAACTCAGTCAGTTGATTCCAGGTGCCCAGTAGCTCTGGTGCTTCTTGACCTTACAGCGACCTTTGATACTGTGGACCACTCTGTTCTTCTGTCTCACCTCCATGATTTTGTTGGGATTCGTGTCACAGCTCTTACGTGGTTCACATCCTATTTATCTGGCAGAACCTTCTCTAGCTTGTTCAATGGCTCCTCTTCCTCTACAGCCTCTCTTCTGTGTGGGGTGCCCCAGGGTTCCATTTTGGGCCCTCTGCACTTCTCCTTGTACATGTTGCCATTTGGATCTATTATAAGACAGCACAATGTCAAATTTCATTTTTATGCAGATGATTTGCCAATCTATTTACCATTAAGGTCAGGATCCAGTAATCCAATGCATTCTCTCTTTGACTGCATCTCTGCAATCAAACATTGGCTAAACAAGAACTTCCTTTTTTTTTTTTTTTTTTTCCAAAAAAAAGAACTTCCTTTTTTATAAATGACAATAAAACAGAATGGATTTTATTTGGTGACAAAGATGCAACGGGCCTGAAAAATTTGAACATTAACTTCAGTGACTGTGTGAAAAACCTTGGGGTGACCTTTGATAAGGCTTTACACTTTGACAAACATATCGCCTCTGTTTTCCAATCTGGATTTTTTTAATTTACACCTTTTACAAAAGGTCAAACCCTTTTTGAACCATTGCAGCTTACAAAAAGACTTGGTAAATCTCGAAAACATGGCAACTTCTGTGTTTCTATATGGATGCCATTTTTTCAAAAAAAAAAAAGATCGGTTTAGGAGTCTGTGCTAAATTTCATTCTTGTGTCAATCAGTGAATAATTGTTTAACTAAGCTGGAGTACTACTTACAAAGTTTCATAACACAGTGCCTTTTTAGTGTCATGTATAACTTGTTGACTATGCTTGTTTCCTAGACAGGCAAACACGATGAGGCCTGGATGGTGCTCAAACACATCCATGACACCAACATGCGAGCCCGAGGAGAGCCTGAGAGAGTCTTCACTGTGAGTATCCTGTGTCCTCGCTTTTCCTACTGTAGCACTGTCAACAGGTGACAGCTCAGTGTGTCCCTCTGTAGGTGAACAGGATCAAAGTCCCACGGCAGCTGGACGAGCTGGTTGAGATGCATAATGAGTCAGCGAACCCTGTCCTCAAAGTCCTCTTCAAGTTCAAAGCTGAGCTCAGAGGAGTATGATGCATTTCTTTATAATTTCTTTGCTTTTATTTGTTTCATATTGGGTAAATTAAACCCAGTGAACATAATTTTGTTTCCTAACAGATCTGGTTGACTTTTCTGCGATGTTTTAACTATCCAGTGAAAGAAAACACTGTGAAACTGGCTGCAGTCTGGTTCACTTTGTCATTTGGGTAAGGCACGACCACATCAAAATTGTGTTTGACAAACTCATCGATAAAATGAAAACATTTTGTCAATGCAAAAGAGGAAAAGAGGGGCAGGTATCACTCTCACTTTGAGTTTATACTCTTTGTTGCATTCATGCTGTGGGTGACAAGTGTCCAGAGTGTCTTTAAAACAGCAGCGGCGTCCGAGTTATTTAATTATCATCTCAGCAGCAGAGGGGAGCAACACCATTCAAGCATGGATCCCCAAATGACAAGGCAGTCCTATTTTTTCACAACATTATTAGTAGTAAGCCTGAGAGTTGCCGGATCCAAGCAAACAGTTGCCGGAACACGCCCTGACAAAATAAGAGAGTTCCCGGATCTTGTTCTGGCAGGATCCGGTTCAAATTAAGCCCTGCTCCTGCCCAAAAACTCTGACATACAAGTCATATACACAAAACTTGCTAAGTCCAATACACATTTCTGAGGGATGACCTTTGACCCTGACACCATAGCAGCACTAACCTTGCTAGTAAAACTAAACAGTTCCTTAACCACAAACAACTTGTCAAACATAGAGAACATTTCAAGAAGTGCAACATTTTGGCGACCTCCAGCACTGTGCAGATATATTGGAAAAAGGTGAAAGGCCAGTCAGGTATACCAGGACTGCCAAGAAAAGAGCCATAGTGGTTTGACTCCTTATGATTGCCTGAGACCACTCCTGGTCCATTTTTCCCTGCAGTTTGTGCAGTTACGCAATCATGAGCTGTTTCTGCCACCCTGTATTTTTATGACGATTTTATCATCCTCAAATCTTTTCATCCTGTTATCAACATACTCATTTTCTCGCTCTCTGACCTTGACATAAGATGAATCACATATATCCAGAAGAAGAAAGAAAGGGGGAAATATTTTACATCCCTTTGCCCTCTAACAAGAGCTTAAAAGTAGCAGAGCTGTATAGAAGGGTTTCACCCTTCTTTCTTACATCTTCTTGTTACAAGAGTGATGAACCAGTAAAATGCAGCTACACTGTAAGTAATCAGCTTACAAATCAGCTTGACAAAAGAAATATAAAAAAGGGAGCAAACTAACATAATGCATCAAATGCATTGCAGGTAGGCAGTGAGGGGGAACAGTGATGAAAGCGCATTACAACTACCACATTACATTATAATATATGTATTGTTTTGTACAGTGCCCCGAGATGACATTTGTTGTGAATAGATGCTAAATAAATCCAATGAACTGAACTGAATAAAACTGGTCAATAAAACTGTATGTTATCAACATACAGTGAAAATTTTAAACACGTTCACATTAATTATTCATATTTTAATGCCAACAGTTCATGCTCAGTAATCCAGGTACAAATCCAACAATGGTCAGTCAGATGTCCAGATAACCTGATTGAACATTGTTAATGCATTTTATCATGCCGTAAATTTTATTTATTGTTTGCATGCATGTGCATACAGATTTACACTGTGAGTCTGAGAACATATAAAAAGTGAAGTGTTATAATGTAATACTTTGGAAATAGGAGAATATTTTAAAATTCTTTATTTCTACTTGTAAAAATGTGAATAAAAATGCTTATGTTTAAATTAGCCTTTCAATGTAATGTATTAGCTTGTTATTAGCTTGTAATTAGCTTTATAAACGAGCAAATTAGAAGAACTTTTTTGGCCTTTTTTCAAGACACACTTTCCAACAGGAGCTCTTGTTGTTTTCAGGTATTACGGACTATCAGTGTGGTTCCCAGATGTCATCAAGCACCTTCAAGCTGATGAATACGCCTCCAGAGTGAAAATTCACAACAACGAGCGCATCGAAGACTTCACCTTTAATTTCACACTGGAAAACCAGATCCACAGAAACGGAGTATTTATGAATGACAGGTACAACAGACTCACTGTCAATACTGAGTAGTGCACGACTGCTGAAAATTAGAGAAGAAGCTGAAACTGGGTTGTTAAAGCTACAGTAAAAGAAGTAGTACAGTGCTAGCTAAAAGCAAAAGGAGAAAAACAGTAGTTAAAGGCTTAAAGAAGCAAAAAGCTTGGAAACAATAAAACAATAAAACTAGCTAAATGCTACCTGTAAAGAGCCTAACATAAGCTACAAGTACCTAAAGGCTATCAAAAGCTAAATGTAGCAAAACAATAACTTAAAATTTTAATAAAACACTAAATTAATTATGAAGTTGCAATAATTAAAAAGGAAAAGTATAAAAAGTTTAATTAAAAACATAAAAAGGTTATGCAGAAGCTAAAATGTGCAAAAAAAAGCTGACTAAAAGCTAAAAGTAGCTACTTTTTAGTTAAAAGTCAAAATTAGCAGACCAATAGCTAAAAGTGGAACAGGGTTAGGAAAAGAATAATGTAATGGTAGCTAAAAGTTCAAGTTAAAAACACCAGCAAATTACAAAAGTAGCATAATCTAAAAGCTAATTGCATCTTAACGCTAAGTCAAAACATTAAAAGATTAGGTAGAAAGTAAAAGTTGCAACAGGATGGCTAAATGCCAAAAGTAGCTAAACGGTAAATAAATGTAAAAAAAAAAAAAAAAGTCTAGCAAAATGTAATAAAAACCCAGCAAGGAGTTAAACGTATTAAAAAGGCTAGATAGCAGCTAAAAGTTGCCTTTTTTTTTACTAAAAGTTAAAAGCAGTAGAGCTATAGATAAAAGTTGAGAGGGTTAGCAAAAGGCTAAAAGTTACAAAATGGTAGCTAAAAAATTAAATTAGAAACACTTTGTAAATGCTGAAAATAATAAAAAGCTAAGCGTATGAAAAGGTAAGGTCAAAACATTAAAAGATTAGGTAAATCTAAAAGTAGCAACAAGATGGCTAAATGTCAAAAGTAGCCGAACAGTTAAAAAAGTTAAGTTTAAAAGTAAAGCTTTACTTTGTTTGAAAATAAAAGTCTAGCGCAAGAATTACAGTCCCAGAAAGGAATGAATAAATGCCTTTTAATTTCCCCATGCCCATGTACAATGAAAGAACTCTTCTCACTGTACGAACATATGCACAAGCAAAAGTAAAAATAATAATAAATAAAAGTATGCTAAAATAATAGTAAATGGAATGAGAAATGGACTGTATATATATATAGATACTCAAAGTGCTTTACACAACAATCTGTGCCCTCATTTACCCATTCATAAAACACTCTGCTACTTATTTAGAAAGACTAATCAGTGCTTTTTGATCACATTCATACACTGATGGGACACATATCAGAGGCAATGAGGGGTTCAGTGTCTTGGCCTGGGACACTTCAGCATGTGACTGCTGGTGGAATCAAACCCCCAAATCAAGAGGACGACTGCTTTAACCACTCAGCCACAGCTGACCCCAAGTAGTGGTATTGCGCTAAAAACAGTATTGGTATTTCACACTCTGCAGATATTGCTCAGTTATGGCATTGTGCAATATTGTCTATAAATTAGGTAATTTGTTATTTAAAACATATTAAATAATGCACAGTAGGTGGGTAAAAGCATTGGGTAGAAGGAAGTCTAGGGGTATAGAAGGTTAGCCTGTGAAGTCTGTGCATATGTGAGTTCAGAATGGTTATGGCTTTGGGAAAAATGTTTTTGAGTCTATTCATCTTTGTTCTAATGCACCTGTAGCACCTCCATGAGGGCGGCAGATCAAACAGTTCAAAACCGGGATGAGCGCTGTCCTTGATAATGCGTTTTTCTTTGATGAGGGAGCGGCAGATGTAAATATTCATCAGGGATGGGAGAGGGCATCCAATGACCTACTGTGCTACCTTTATTACTCTCTGGAGCCTCTCATTGTCTGTCACAGTGCAGCCACTGTAACATACTATGTTGCAATACGTCAGTATGTTCTAAATGGATGAGTGATAGAAGGTCAGTAGCAGGTTGGAACCCAGGTTGTACTTCCAGAAACTCTCAGGAAGTGAAGCCGCTGGTGAGCCTTCTTGATGACTGCTGTGATGTTGACTATCCAGGAGAGGTCAGCAAAGATAAGGATGCCAAGACACTGGAAGGTGTCGACCCTCTCCACACATTCTACATCAATGTAGAGGGGGGCTGGGTCAGTGCTGTACTTCCTGAAGTCAATTATGATATCCTTTGTTTTCTTGGTGTTTAGAACCAGGTTGTTCTCTGAACACCAGGCTGCCAGCTTTAGGACCTCCTTCCTGTAAGCTCCCTTCAGGATGAGTCCCACTGTGGTGTCATCAGCAAACTTGATGATGAGGTTGTTGTTGTTGTGGGCTGGTCTGTAGTCGTGGGTGTAAAGACAATACAGGAGGGGTCTCAGCACACATCCCTGTGGTGAGCCAGTGCTTAGCATGCAAGTGAAGGAGAGATGGAGGCCAAGTTTCCCAGTCTGGGGCTGGTTGGAGAGAAAGTCCTTTACCCAGGTGCATGGGTGGTGGGGGGGAGACGGTCCAGTTTTACAATGAGGGTGTCCGTGATGGTTGTTTTAAATGCTGAGCTGTAATCCACAAAGAGCATCCAGATGTAGGTTTGCTGCTGCTCCAGGTGGCTCAGTGCAGAATGAAGAGCTATGATGATTACATCCTCTGTGGACATGTTCGTGGGATATGCAAACTGTTATGGGTCAAAGCCTGGAGGGAGCTGGCTCTTGATGTGCTGAAAAAACAATTTCTCAAAGTACTTCATGATTATCTGAGTGAGGGCGACAGGACAATAATCATTCAGGATGGCAATGCAGGACTTCTTTGATATTGGAATGATTGTAGTTAATTTTAGGCTGAACAGAATGACTGCCTGGGCCAGGTAGAGGTTGAAGCTGCTGGTAAACATGAAGGCAAGCTGGTGAGCACATGCTCTGATCACCTTGCCAGGCATTCTGTCTGGGCTAGTAGCCTTCTTGGGGTTCACTGCCTGGAGCACCCGTTGGACATTGTGCTCTTGCACAGTGAATAAAGTGATGCCAAAATCAGGTGGGGGAGTGGGTAAGTCTGGGATAGTGCTGGAACCGGCTGGGGATGTGGGCAGGGCTGAAGCAGATGAATGTTGATAAGATGTTTCAAAACGGGCAAAGAAGCAATTTAGCTTCTCTGCCAGTGGCACTTAGGTCTGCTGATGTTGCAACACAGCCTCTGTAGTTTGTGATGTGTTGTATGTCCTGCCTCACCTTCTGTGTGTTGTTGCTGGTCAGATGGGATTCTATACTCCTCTTATGGGCTGTTTTGGATTTTTTACTTCCTCTTTTCAGGTTGACTTGAGCAGCACTATACATACCTCTGTCACCTGACCTGAAGGCAGCATCGCAGGCTCTGAGGAGCCTATGAACCTGCTTGGTCCTCCAGGGTTTCTGGTTTGGGAAAACCTTATGTTTTTATCCACAGTTACATTCCTGATTCAGATCTTAATATGGTCCAGCATTGTTCCTGTGACTGTTTCCAGCTCCTGGTGTTCAAATAAGTCCCAGTCTGTCTGTTTGAAACAGTCCTGTAGTTTGGAGAGTGTGTTTGCAGGGCAGGATGTAACAGCCATTGTGGTGGGACTGGTACTGCGTCTGAGTGGGGTGTAGACTGTGGAGGACAGGAGTGAAAGATGGTCTGACAGGCTAAGGTGGGGGATTGGAAGGATCCTGTACGCATGCTTAAAGTTGGTATAAAAATGATCTAAAGTGTTCGCTCCTCTAGTAGGACACTTGACATGCTGATAAAATTTCAGCAATTCTTTCTTCAGGTTAGCTTTATTAAAATCACCTGCAATTATGTGAACACCCTCTGGTTGTGCTTGCTTCTGTTCGTTTATTGTGTTCACCTGGAGAGAGCGCTGTGTTTACACTGGCATCTGGTGGAATATACACAGCCATGACAATCACTACTGTTAGTTCTCTCCGTAAGAAGACAGGTCGTCATCTTACAAACTTGTACTCGGGGTCAGGGGAACAGTGTTTTTCTATAATAGTCCTGTTTGTTCACCAATTCTCCAGGATGTAAATACAGAGACCCCAAGGACTTAAAAGTATCAAAAAGCCTAGGTAGTAGCTAAAAGTTGTTTTGTTTTTATTTGCTAAAAGTTGAAAGCAGCAGAACAATATCTAAAAGTTGTTGTGCTAATTGTAATAAAATATGGGACGTTGGTTTACATTAAAATTTAAACCCAGTTACTTTGGACTCTGTCCCGGAACACAGCTCTCTCTGTCTCCCATTAACAGCCTGGTCTGCACCGTCACAGCAGCACCCTCTGGTGACAAAGAACGACTGAAGCACCAGAACACAACTGCATTCACCAACAGTGCCTTTTTCCAGCAGTGACTGTTGGAAATGAAACACGAGTTACACCGTGGACAGGGGACTAGTCTGTCACAGGACCACAGAGACCAGTGAGAAACTCATACCCAGAGACTCTCTAGAGTAGCCATTTACTACTGTGAGAAGAAACTGGAGGACCTGGAGGAAACTCGTGGATGTATGGGGAGAACTTGCAAACACCATGCAGAAAAGCCCCGTCCTGAAGCTGAAGCTGTAAGACAGCAGTGCTCATCAAGTACTCAGCAGTGCTGAATACTATTTAAACATTTAAATTGCTAAATAAAAGGTGTGCAAGTTTTAATTTGTGTTTCATGTTTAACTGGGCAACCTATTGTTTTAAACTGTTTTAGTTGGTTCAAACTGTGACATAACCTTTACAGCACCAAGTTACTTCCATCTCTGTCTCTGTTTGTGCATTCAGTAAAAATAGTGACTTTACATTTCAGCAATAATATTTAAATTAAAAACATAATTCAGCATCAGGTTCTTTGCTCTCAGGAAGATGTTTCAGATCCCCTTTGTGCTTCATTGCTCTTTTCCTTTGGAACTGTGTTACAATAACCCATTCTTTCATTCATTCCCATCTCCTTCCAGGTTTATCAGCATGAAGTTCAAGGCGGTCACATTCATTGACTCATCCTTTGTCAATTGCTATTTTGAAGATGTTTCTTCAGTCGGATCCTTCTTCAAAAACTGCACCTTTGTGGACTCGTTTTTTTACAACACAGGTGAGTTTACACCTTGAAAATACTCATTCAGATGCTAAATCTTTGTACACAATATCCCTTCAGTGAACAGACAAGGCTGATGAACAGTAATAAGTTTGGATTGAGAATTATTTTTAAAAAAATTACACCATGTTTGAACTCCCATAGTGGACCAACCAGTTTGCTGGTGATAAGATGGTTTCTGGGGCCTGCCCTCTCCCCCATCAACTCCTCTGAGGCAGCCATAACCAGTGTGCTGCGTGTGGGACTGAGTTTGTTTGTGGCTCCTCAGATTGATGAAGTCCTTTGGATGAAGGACGAAACGTCTCAACAACAACCAAAGACATCCAGATGACCTGACTGACCTTTGTTGGATTTTTAACCAGGATTTTTGAGCATGAACTTTGATGTTTAATCACTGGATGTTCACCCACAACTGATGAACTTTTCACTCATCCTCATTCAGAGGGCTGTCACTGCTCAGCAACCGTGGAAAACTGTCAGTTTTGTAGATAATGTGCTAATTCTTGGAGTAGCTTAAAGTCATCCCCACTCACCTTGAATGCTAATATTAATAATAATCGCCGTTTTTCTTGTTTTTCTTTGCACTTCTCGTGCAGTTCATGCACATTTGCTGTCTCTTGGCTGAGATTGTTGCCAGGTTGTGTTTTATTTATTTATTTTTGCAGTAGCTCACTGTAAATTTGCATCAGGGATGATCTGTTAATTACTATCATTTTTATTACAAGTATTTTCATCTTTGTCCCTGTTAGTTTTTGCTAATCACTGATTTTAGATTTATTTTCACAACTATTGCTACTGTGGTGGTGTGGTGTATTTTTTATTATTCAACATATATATATATTTTTTCAGTCGTGAACATTTTGTTGTTGTTTATTTGTCTCACCCCCCACCTCCAATTTAAAGCATACTTTTTTTTCTGTCTCTCTTTTTCTTCCTCTTCTTTGTTGGTGTAAAAACATTTTTTTTACTCAGGGTGCACTGTAATTGTCACCAAATGCAATTTTAAACAACAATAATAGTATTTTAGAGGACCAAGTCAGTTTTTAATACAGCAAACATCATTTTTGGGGGCAGGGTTAGGATACAGAAATGAACGAGTCTGTGCAATTTCCTCAAGGACCAAAATACAAATTTAAGTGTATCTGTAGTACATATCCAGTTTGTATCTTAGTGTATATTTTTTAATAGGAAGCAGTTAGATAAAACTTGTGTTCATGCTCAAGGACAAATAAAATGTCACACTTTGACATCTTTCAAAGCAAAGCTAACTTGGAGAACTACAACTTTAATCTAAAGTGCTTTGTTTTCAGTTAGCCTTTTTACTTAACAAGTCGTTTTAATTAAACTTTTGTTGCTTTTAGCCAACTGCTGATAGTTGGTTTTAGTTATCCCTTTGCTACTTTTGGTTTTTAGTTTATGTTGTTTACTTTTAAATTTTTATTTTACATTTAACAACTTCATTTCAGCTTCTTCAGCCGTCATTTAACACTCAATTTTCACACCTGTTTATAGTTTGATCTTTTTATCTGTTACATTCACAGATATCGATGACAAGAAGTTAAAAACTTCAAAGGTGATCAACAGCTCTTTCCACCACAACAAGACAGGCTGTCAGATGACATTTGATGATGATTACAGCGCCTACTGGGTCTATTTTGTTAATTTCCTGGGAACGCTGGCTGTGCTGCCTGGAAATATCGTCTCTGCTCTCCTCATGGACAAAATAGGACGCCTCAGCATGCTAGGTAAGACAGAGAACCTGCTCTGACTTTGTTGAGCAGCATGTCCTTTGAGAAAATGTGTTGAAGTCATGTGATGTTGACCTTTGCATCTGCAATGGCTTCCAGTAAAGGAGGTTAAATGTGTGACAGATGTTGAGCAGACTGAGTAAAAAGAATCCATGTGGCATCCTGCAGGAGGCTCTATGGTCCTATCAGGCATCAGCTGCTTTTTTCTTTGGTTTGGCACCAGTGAGTCCATGATGATCTTCATGCTCTGTCTCTACAACGGCCTGAGTATCTCTGCATGGAACTCCCTGGACGTAGTCACCACTGAGCTGTACCCGACTGACAGGAGGTGAGTTTAAGGAGAAAGTCTACGTAAGATCAAAGAAAAAACTGATCCTGATCTGTTCTTGAGCTTTTTTGCCCACAATGATGGAGCGAAGAGGAGGAATTGCAAATACTGTTCTTCCGTCCGTTTGTTCATGTTGTGAGCATGATAACTTGAAAAATAAACACGGTACGAGCTTCCATTTAGGTGTGTGGCTGCATCTAGGCATAAGAAAGTTTCCTTTTAAAAGTTGGGTTGCCACGTCTAAATCCAAGATGGCTACCAAAATACATATATACATTGGCCAACCCTATCATTTGAGGAAGCTATGCTTTGGGGGAGTGGTGGTGTAGAGGTTAGAGAAGGCAAACCTTTTATCAGAAGGTCACCAGTTGGATCCCCGGACCCATCCATCCATCCATCCATTATCTTTACCCGCTTATTCCATTTTGGGTCACGGGGGTCGCTGGTGCCCATGTCCAGCGATCACTGTGCGAGGGGCGGGGTACACCCTGGACAGGTCGCAAGTCCATCACAGGGCGGATCCCCGGACCAACAACATCAAAATGTGAGTGTGAAAGGTGAAACACCCACACCAGTCTCCACTCTTGTTTGCTCCCCTCTGGGCCCTTGAGCAAGGCCCTTAACCCCCACCATCTGCTACCCTGGTTGCCCTAAATGGCAGCTCTCTGCTCCACACAGAGGGCTGTGGTAGCTCGTGGTCTGTGGTTGTGTCAGGAAGAACATCCAGCCTAAAAACAACTGCCAAGTCTTCGTGTGACTTACTGTGGCAACCCCTGAGAGTTGAAGAAGAAACTAAAGAGTTTTCAGTTTTTATATTGCTTAAAAGTATATCTAACAAGTTCTGATGCATGCTCAATAATCCAGTTTATTTATTTATTTTTTTCATTTCACCTTCATTTAACCAGGCATAAACACTAAGAACAAATTCTTATTTACAGTGCTGGCCTGGTAAGCACCAGCATGTAGGATGAAGGGGAGGTAGATAAATGTAACAAGGTTGAACTAACAGCAATCACTTGTTAGGTTGATGGTCCTTTTGAATGTGAACAACTAGTTCTGGATGTCTGGCTGATTCACAATGAGAAGATGTTGCTTTTAAGACTGAGTTTTTTGCAGCTCCTCAGACTGAAGAAGTATTTTTACTTTTGATCAACCAGTTTGCTGGTGACAGCCAAAACTAGTGTTTTCCATGCAAAGGGAGGACCATCAGCCTAACAATCGATAGTTAGTGCCCTGATAGACACTTGCTCTTCACAGGGGGCTGAATGATGCATTAACAGCATTGTAAGAGGGAGACAGTTGAACATGGAGGCCAGACAAGATCCTTTTTGTTCACATCTTTCTGCAAATTATAACTTCTGTTAGATGTACTATATACTCAAACATGGTGGCACTATTTCTAACTTGATTAAATAAGTGACTGATGCTGAGTAATCAAAAAAATTGTGATGCAAATCCCACAAACACCACCACTGTATAACATGAAATACAAAGGCAGCTTTCAATTAGATCTTTACTACTTTTAGCTTATTGCTTTTAGGTAGACTTTTGCTATGTTTACCTTTGGCTACTTTAAGCTAGCTTTTTGTCATTTTGAGTAGTTTTGCTACTTTTAGCTACCCTTTTGACATTTTAGCTTTTACTGAACTTGTTTTGTGTTTAGCTAGTGTTTGCTACTTTTAGCTTTTAGCTAGCCTTTTGCTACATTTAGCTTTGCTAGGTTATTACATTTTTTGATAATATTATATTCTGTTGACAGTAACAATAAAGTCTTAAAGTAGAGTCTGAGTGCTCTTTGTACATTTCATGCCACTTGTGCCAGACAGAGGGTGATTCCATCCATGCATTATTTTTTGCTTGTTCCGAAGTCAGGTCACAGGGGCAGCAGCTTGAGCAGGGAGGTCCAGACATCTCTTTCCACAGTCACCTCTTCCAGCTCTTCTGGGAGGATTCCAAGGTGTTTGCATGCTAACCGAGAAACATAGTCTTTCCAGTGCATCCTGGGTGTTCCCTGGCATCTCCTCCCAGTTGGATATGCCCAAAGTACCTCCCTAGGGAGGTGCCCAGGAGACTTCCTTACCAGACACCTGAACCACCTCAACTGACTCCTCTCGATGTGGAGGAGCAGCGGTTCTACTCCGAGTCTCTCCTGGATAACTGAACTTCTCACCCTATCTCTAAGTGAGAGTCCAGCTACCCTGCGAACAAAACTCATTTCAATTTCCTGGATATGTGATCTCATTCTTTCTGTCACTACCCAGAGCTTGTGACCATAGATGAGGGTAGGAACGTAGACCGACTGGTAAACAGAGAGCTTTGCCTTACAGCTCAATTCCCTCTTCACCACAACGGACCGGAACAGAGTCTGCAATACTGCAGACACTGCACCAATCCGTCTGTCAATCTCACGCTCTATTATTCTCTCACTCATGAACAAAACCCCAGGATACTTGAGGTACAAGAGGGTGATTGAATAATCAAGTATAATCTGCATGCTGTTTTAATCCATTATAGGGGAACTCAGTGTTGAGAAGATTAAAAAGTCTAGGTCACAATGGCTGACCTGTAAAGTTGAAGCTGTGAGACTAAGTTCAATGAATGTGGATGTGTTTACACCTTAAAGTGTAAAAGTAAGGATTGAACAATAAAGTCTTAAAGTTGAGTCTCGTTGTTCTTTGTACATTTCATCCCAGATGTGTCAGACAGAGGGTGGTTGCTTTTTGCTGATAGATACACTAAAACTGCCCCACTGACCTAGTTTTGATAACCACAGCTGATTATAGGCAGTAGTCACAAAATAAGTTGATAAACAGGGATACTCACATGTACAACAGCTTCCTCTTACCATATAAGGTCATCATCTGGCAGAAACATGTGGGAGTGTGCTGGTGAAGATTGTACATGTTTTTGTATTGAACGTTTTTTTCCTCTTAGAATAAAAAAAACATGTTTTGATAGCTTCTAGTTATAATTTTCTGCTTTTGTTCTGAAGGAACCTTTAGTTATCACATAATGGGCTGGAAAAATGCTGCCTGGTGCTCTCACCAAACTCCATATATCAGTCCTGATTCTTGATTCTCATACATTACTGGCCTGAAATAGTTACCACAGCATGCAGATTGCTTTGTATGTTTATGTGTGGATGAAAACATTTCTAGAAATGGTGCCATGTTTCTGAAGAAAAGATTGTTTTAGAAAAACAGTGTGGATATTCAACATTTATAAATAAGATATTTATATCTCCTTTCAGTTTCTGACAATTCAATTAGAAATTTTTATCCAATGTAAGTAAACATATAACAGTATGTGACTCTTTTTTCTTTTGTTTCTGTTTGTTTTCTCTTTCAGGGGCACTGGCTTTGGATTCTGTAATGCCATTTGTAAGCTGGCAGCTGTGTTGGGCAACCTAATTTTTGGCTCCCTAGTGGGCATCACCAAGGCTATTCCCATTTTGCTGGCATCGGCTGTACTGGTTGGCGGTGGACTGGTGGGGCTTCGGCTACCTGACACTCGTGCCAATGTCCTCATGTAAACCTCAGCTCAAAACAGTGTGTAATTTACCGAGTTTTACTCAGCAAAACAAATAATTTGTCATTGATGAACTATTGTTATAAATTATTTATTTACCACAAGTAATTCTGAATGATACCACCAACTGAAAAACGTTGCGGATAATTATTGTGTTTTTTTTCTGAGTAAGACTCTTGGTAAGAAGTGGAAACAGTTTTATATAGCTGTAGATGTACAGAGGTGGTTTATTTAGAGAAAAAAAAATCAGGTTACAAGTGCAACAGATTGCCAGATTCTGGTTAACCAAACTGTTGGTGCTGTTGCAGGAATAAAACAGGTTTACCTGTCGTCGGTTGTAACAAAACTCTGTAAATCAACAGCTTCTTTTACCTTCAAGCTGTTTTGCACATGGATTCCACAAAAGCATGACCAAAGCTGCCAAAGGCTTCAAATTCCAACAACCTGTTTTCTTCTGATCCCACTCCATATCAGATTTTTTTTTTTTTAAGTTGAAAACGTTTGGAAATTACTTTTTGTGAGTGCCATTGTTACATTGTTTGTTTGGAGATAAAATGCAGTTTTAAACTAAAAATGGTAGATACAAACGTTCCTTGCCATTCTTGACTGAAGCCACCCTGGGTTGTGTTCTGGTGGTTTAAATGTTGAACCCAGTGGTGCAGGCAGACACAAGGAACATACATAAAGGTAAACAATAGTTTAGTTTTAACACAAAAAGCATGAGAGGCTTCCATCATGTTATTTAGATTCACCTTCAGATTAGATTATCTCTCCTGAAGGTCATTAAGGTATTTGTCTCCCTCTCCTCCTGGGGGTCATTAGGGTCTTTGTCAGCATGGCACACAGAGAGCTGTATTGGTCATCTACATGTAGGAGTGAAATAAAGTGGAACTGACAGGGTATCAGGCTGAATCCTACATTGTAGGTCTCTGAAAATTGAAATCTGAGACCACCTCCTCCGTTTATGTTCTGGATATCTGTTCATTGAGGGACTCAACACTATTCTAATTTTTTTTTTTCCAAATTTGAATCTATAAAGACTGCTTTAAAACAGCTATTTTAAGACATTGTTCACACTTGGTCTTTCAATGCATCTTTAGAGATCAGATTGCTTTGGGATCACACTAAATCCACTTTGAACAGTCTCACTGCAAATTGAAAACATTGTAAACTCAGACCACCTTCTGTGACGGAACGTAGGTGGACCCCTTCCATTTGCAATGTTTGGTAGTATTGAACACGGCCTTTTTGGATTCTCAAAGTAGAACTGACATGACCAAACAGAATGTCAATGTCAATTTATTCAGATAGCACATAAAAACAACAAAAGTTGATGAAAGTGCTTTATAGTTTATTCAAATTAAAATGAAAACAAGAAAGAAGTACAAGAAAATACAGCTTATGTCACTAAGGAAACACGAGAAAGTTAACAATAAAATGCAACACACAACAACAAAAAAAATCATGTCCAACTGGTTATCAGACTCTGCATGGACCAAGGGAAAAAGATGTCTCGAGCAAAGATTTTAAAGTCTCAACTGTCTCAGAAGTCTTTAAATGATCTGGTAAACTGTTTCACAGTTTTGGTAGAGCAACTGCAAATGGCCGAACACCTCTAGACTTCAGTTTGGATCTGGGGACATCTAAGAGGAACTGGTTGATAAACTGGAGTGCTCTTACTGGAGTGTAGATGTTAAGATCACATAATAATGATGGGGCCAGATCTTGCAATCTTTCTTCTTCTTTCAGCTTTTCCTTCTTCAGGGTCTCCACAGCGAGTCATCCTCCTCCATCTCTCTCCGTCCTCTTCATCCTCTGTCCTCACCCCAACTACTTCCATGTCCTTTCTAACTGCATCCGTGTATCTCCTCTTTGTCATTTTCCTGGCAGCTGCATTTCTAACATCCTTCTACCAATATACCCACTGTTCCTCCTCTGGACATACGGATGGCTGATTCTGTGGCTTTGATCATCTCCACCAGAGGAATTCTTCTTGGCGTAACCACAATGTTCAGTTGAAGAGTAAATGAGTCAATAAAGTAGAACCCATTCAGAGTATCTGACTCAACCATTTTACGTCTTAGTTGTGGGGATTCTGTTTTTTCTCCTTCACTTCACTCTCCTGCAGCTCCTGGGTGGCAGGGTGGAGCCAAAAATCTCCAGCTACTTCCCGTCTACTGCTGAGGACTTGCAATACTTGATGCTGTTAGGATCTACCAGTCTCTGCTGGAACATTGTCCCTTCCATGCTCCAGTCACCAGTTTTTTCGTCTCCTTGATTAGCCTTGAGTTTACGCCTGGTGTCGGTGAATCCCTGGAACATTCCTCCAGATCAGCCACCTAAAAACAAGAGCCATAACAATCATCCTAACTTCTCTTCATCCAGACTTAAGGTCTATCCTGCCACTTTTGCAAGTCCACTTCCTCTTAACTGGTCATGTGGTCTTCCTCTTGTCCTCCTTTGGTACCCTCCTCCAAACCTGCATCAAGAAAATACATCAAATAAGCAGCAATATATTCTCTGGACAGAAAACTCTTATTTCCTGACATTTCTAAATACTAACCTCCCATCTCCTACGGCTCCTGCCAGCGCCCCTGTGTTAACACACCTGTTTTACAATTGATTGGTCTCTATCTCAATTCAGTCTCTGGGTATTGAAACTGCTAATTGTGATCCAACATTTTTCAGTCAGGTCATCTGGACATTTTCTTCTTTTTGTGCTGAAACGTTTCACCTTCGATCTGAAAGGCTTCATCAGTCAAGGAAACACACAACAAAACTGATTCTTCCCCCAACGGCTTACTCCAAAGTGGAACAAACCAGTTATGTTGGTGCTAAGATGGTCTCTTTGTCACACCCCCTCCTCCATTGCCGGCCCTCAGTTTTGTGTTGTGTTTCCTTGACTGATGAAGCCTTCTGGATCGAAGGCGAAACGTTTCAGCACAAAAAAAAAAAAAGAAACTGTCCAATGACCTGACTGCAAAATGTTGGATTGTATCGGAGTCAGAGTTTCTTTATTGTCATTCGCACCTCATGTGGTACATGTGGTGGAGCGAAATTATTTACACAAGGTCCCAGTTACATCCAACAATAAAATGTAAAAGAAAAACAGTAATAACATCTAAGATATGAACTAAGAAAAACATCAACTAAATATACACTAAGCACTCATCACATAAAAACATTGAACATCAGCACAAACATGAACATGAGTCTGTGAGCAGATGTGCACGCATGAACACATCAACATTGAAACAGATCAGCAGCAACATGAAACAGATCAGCAGCAACATGATATGGTTTTTCACAGTGATTATTCTGGTTAGAGATTCATGAGTCTAACAGCCTCAGGGTAGAAGCTGTTCCTCAGTCTAGTGATTCTACACTTAATGCTCCTTAACCTCCTTCCTGAGGGGAGTGGGGCAAAAAGTGTGTGTGCTGGGTGAGTGGGGTCCTTCATGATGCAGGTGGCCCTCTTCCTGCATCTGGAGGTGAGAGATTAACAGGAAAAAATGTTTTTCCCAGTTTTGTTTAATTTATCAAATACTAAAGGCATACATACAATAGACCAAAGGTGATTCAAGGGCCACTATCCTGCATGCTTTAGATGTTTCTCTGTTTTGAAATACCTGATTTGAATGAATGAGTGATTAATGGGTTTCTGTAGAACTTGAAGGCCTGCTAAAAAGCAGGGAAACAACTAAAATGAGCAGGATAGTGGCCCGCAAGGACCAGGATTGGGCACCCCTGCCCATACTCTATCACTTTTCAAGTGAAATGAAGTGTTGTCTGCAGGTGTAACAAAAGATCTGTAGTTCAAAGGTCTGCATGTACAAAACATTGGCAGACCTGCTCTCACACCAATCTGACAGCCCTCTGTGTGAAGTGGGTGCACGTGGTTCTGTTGACAGCAGGTAACTTACATTAAGCACTCGATGTCAACACCATCACAGCTGACTACAAATAGTTCAATCACATCAGACAGATGTTTAATGACAGATTTGAACAGGCTCAGAGCTAGGTGAACTTTCTTTTGATGTTAAACACTCTTGGTGTGACACTCAGTAATATTTTAAACTCATAGTATTTCTTTATCACTTGAATTGAAAGAACAAAGCCACTTAGCTCACACCCACAGAGGGATAGTGCTTAGAGTTGGTGGTTGGTATTCTATAGATGTACATTTATTTATTTTGTGTTGGGAACAGAATGAACTCTTGCCTGTTTCTACATCTGCATCACCATCGGTGATCAATATTTTCTGAAAGGTTGTTGAATTTTAAGCCTTTGCTGCAATGTGCAAGAATAACAAGGCCATAAAAAAACAAATTACGAAGCAGTAGTTTAGTCAAACCTGGCAACTTTCGCAGCTACATTTCTAAAGAGAAAAATAGAATTTACAATTTCTGTGTTGTCCAGTGAACATTCAAGTCCTTCTGTCTTCCTCTCTCGTGTCTGTGTTCATCATGTGGCTTCCAGCTTTTCCTGAAGGGCTTTGTTTAAGTTGCAATCTGCTCTGAGAAGACTTTACACCACAGGAACCCTCTGTTGGTATCTTTTTCTTTCTTTGTATAGTGTCCCTGGGTCCTGTGTGTCCTCTGTCTCCTGCTGCCTTGCTGCTGCTCCCTCTGAAAACTCAAAGGCCTTTCTCAAAGTCGTGCCTCTCTCTGCATCAAGTCCGTTTCTTCTTCTAAACCTGTTGCTGGAAGCTTTGCTGCTCTCTGCTGCTCTCTTTGGTCCCTTATCTGTGTGTGTGTGTGTGTGCGCATGTGTGTGTACACACCAACTGAGCTTTCTTATGTTTTATGCTTTTCAAAGGAATATAAATGTATGAAGGTTGTTTTTCTATTGGTGTAAGTGACAAACTGAAAGTAAAGCCATGTGTTTTGGCTCAGCTCACTATGAAACAGTAATTTTATGAAACCAAGCTGACAGTTTTGGTTAGACGTGAAGAATTGAGATGTTAAAACACTAAAGGGGGAAAAAACTTTTTATTTTCCTTCT